TTTAGACCTTTTAGGGTTGCCTCTAATGACATAATAGTAAAGGTTTAGGATTTAGGGTTTAGGGTTTATAGAAACTGCATAGGGTTTGGGTCTCAATAATTGTTGACCGAAAGTTGTGACCTGTTTTTAACTGTCCAAAAACCAGGGGCTTCGGCAGAGGTGACGGGACTCTCCCACAGAAATTGGGTTTTGCAGACTGTTTTGGGAATTGTTTTGGGATTTCGGGGCTGTTTTTGGGCTCTGTTGCCATTTTTGGTGGCTTTTGGGGCCTCTCCCAAACCATTTCTGGGCTGGCCTTCGGGCTCTCCAAACCACAAATTTGGGTGTTCTGGGGCTCTCCCAACCATTTATGGGGCTGGAGGATCATTTCTGCTTCATTCCGGGATGGTTTCATTTCTGGGCTTTGGATGCTTTTGTGCCAGGGACTTGTGCACAGCATCAACTTGTTTAGATGAACATAATTGGCAAGCGAACTTGTATGTCCGCTTGTCCAAAGTATCCAACTTGTGCTTATGTCTGACTTGAAGGTTTAGGATTTAGGGGTGGTGTTACGGGCTGAGGTGTTTGGGGTCCAACAATGGGAAATCAAATGGAGAAGAACAAATTACATGAAATGGACATTACTATGTGGGGTCTAGGGTTTGGGGGGGCTTTTGTGTTTGAGGTCAGGGCTTCTTTTCTTTAGAGCTTAGCGTTCATGATTTAAAGGCCCACGGGATTTCCAGCGGTTTTTATGAGGATGATAACGGGTTGTAGAGTTTGAGGGTATGAGGGTTCGGGGTCTGGGGTTTCAGGGATTGGGTGCAGGTCGCGGTTTGGGGTTTCCGGATTGGATAGAAAAGCTGGAGGCATATAAAGCTTGTGTACTGTTTGCTGTTTCAGCCATGCTTAGTGGCTTAGCATGCATGCCGCATGCCTGTTAGCAGATTTTGCGACTTACATACATGACGGCCTTCGTTCTTTTTGGCAGAGGTGCTCCTTGTGAGGATTGCGGAGTTGCTTGAGTGATGAGTCAAAACCTCACCCGAAACCCTAGAACGTTTAGTGTTTGCATGGGGCATTGGCACGCAAACCCGTTGAACATTGCCCAACTGCAAACTGGCAGCATGCCACCGCGCAAACCCTGAACTTCTCCTAACACTTCATAAACGGGGTTCCCTTAACGGAGGCCACGAGCATAGACTCAATATACTATAACCCTTCCTATAAGGGTTTCCACAACCCAAACCCCTAAATCTGAAACTTGTATAACACCTGCTCCGTCAATCCCATGCATCCCTACATACCCCTACTTGCTACTTGAAAAAGATCCCTTCATTCTAGGAAAATCTAATCCCTAAACTCTATAAACCCCGACATAACCTCTTCAAAGAAGCTGCCCCCACCTTAAGCCCTGCCAATTTCCGCTAATCTCATATGAGCTATAGTCTAAACTCCTAGTATCCCCCTTAATACCCCCTATAGTAGTCCACTATATAATCCCCCATATAACCCCCCTTTAAGGAGTTTAGACTATGGCTCATATGGGACCCAACCCGAAACCCTAAATCCTGTTGCCAAGGGTCTGTGGAAAGCCTGTGCATCAGGTCCTAGCTCCTTTTGCGTGACCTTCCAAGTGGCGTAGCGATACCTCCGGGAACTTCCCACACGAGGGTGCACCAATAAGGTTTAGGGCTAAGGGTTTAGGAGCTGAACTACTAGGACGCTCCTAGTACCCTAGTACCCCCTTTTGCAGATATAAGGCCCTAATAGTAAGTACCTAGGCCTGAATAGAGGGTAGCTGGAGGGTCTAGAGGTTTAGGGTTGTACAGGAATGATGAGGAGATGGGAGTCTGGGGCTTAGGACTTAGGCATGTCTGGATATTGCCCTGGTCCTATTGTATGATCGTCAGATATAGCGGCTGCAGCATAGGTAATGTATGGGTATTTCTAAAAATTATCCTTACAGGACTGCACTTTCTGATGGTAAGTCATGAAGGAATATAATGCCTGTTTAACTACCCCCTCATAATATGAGTGTATATATCCCTTATTGCCCAGCAAGTTTAGGGAGTCGCAAAGCCTGAACGCTGAGACAAGAAGCCAAGTCGCTGTAAACGCAAACCTGACGCCTGAAATGCAAAACCTGAAAGTTTGATCTCTAGATCCCGGTTCAGGAATCAAGTCCTAAGGGGTTTAGGGTTCCGCAGCCTACATCCTGGTCTGAAACCGCCACAGAAAGCCTAGATTCTCATCTCATAACCCAACCCCACAAAAGCACTTCAAACGTGGAGGCTCCCTTCATACACCTCGAATTGCCATCCGAAGTCTAGGCAGTCTCCAAAAGGCACGCCCGAATGTTTGTACATCTGAAGCTTCCCTTAACCCTAAACCGTGAACCGTTCTAACTCAAAGACCCCAAACCTAAACCCTAAACCCCTTTCATGCGGCACGGCCTGAAGTTAATGTACCGGGCGCCGATCCACATGTCGTGGGAGCCGCGTGTCATGGCGTCGGAGAAAGCCATAAGGACTTCCACCATGAAGGCCTTGGATTTGGATTTAGGGTTTAGGGTCATGAAGGCCTTGGATTCGGAGATCCTTTCAACTTACTTGAATTAAGGGCTATAGGGTTTGGGGTTAGTAAGGCATACTATAGCATGTAGGGAAGGAATACAAAGGGATTATTTTCCCCTTTTCCCAACTAACCACCAGTAGTAAGTTAGAGTTATGATGGGAGGTATGTCTATGAACGCCTTGGACGACTTCCTTGAGAGGGGTTGTGGGGGGTATGGAATAGTATACATAGACAGATTTTAGGGTTTGAGGTTTAGGGTCCAGGGTTGTGGTGCTTATCATACTTCGCTAGGACGTTGAGTGCTCGCACCAATGTACTAAGATCCTGCAGAATAAGACGCGGCTGTGCAGTTTCTTCTAACCTCGCCGAAACATCCTCACACCAAAGAACAAGGCATTTTGGATGTGGGCAAGTGAAGCAACGCGGTAAAGCTGTTATGGAATGTCCGATGACTAACTTCCCGAACAATTCGAGATTCAGAGATCCCTAAGAGGATTCAGGGAAATCCACACGCCTTAGGGCTTACCTGAATCCCTTGGTCTGTTTTTTAAGGGTTTTGGGCTGTTTGTTGCCTACTTTTGGGGTCCAGGTAGGGGTAACCTTTAGGGGCTCGACACAGGTGCCGGATTCTATGGGTTTGCGATGTTGGACAACCCTCAAACAAAAGGAAGGATGCCGAAGATCTGGCTTGAAAAGGGCTCCAGTTCCCCAAGCCCTATAGTCCCCCTTAAGTAGATAGAATATAGGGTATATGGGGATCTTATTAGAATATGCCCAAAGCCATATTCTATCTACTTAAGGGGGTCTATAAACTTGCCTTAAACCTAGACCCCTACATCCTAGCTATGTAGTTATTTGCTGCAAAACACTAGTGTTTTGTGTGATCCTGAGGAAAAGGGACCGCAGGATATGGGGTTTCCCAAAATAAGGGGTACTTTTGGGGGGCGTACCTCTAACAAGGAGAATAGCATTTTGAGGTCTATAATGTTGGACTCGCTTTAGCCCTGAGGTCCCCTATGATGTGTTCTGGGTTCCGGCTATTCAGGATCAGGGTAATTACTGTGAGGTTCCCTTTCCTGTGTTTTGATTTCGGGGCCTTAAAAAGATGGGAAACATTCACAGCTCTCCCTTTTAAATCAATCCGCGGGGATCTCAGAAACGTGGGAGGCTGAGGCCCATATTGAAGGTCCTTAATTTCTGTTTTCTGGGGGCCCTATTGTTAGGGGGAGGGCCCAACATCGAAGAGGGTCCCACATTATTGGGGCCCCCCTCTTTTGGGAAACTACCATATCACCTGCTTAATACTTGGGTACCCCAAAACCCTAAATCCTAAACCTCCTTACATAAACCTGGTATCCTAAAGTCAACCCAATCTCCAGGCTCTTAAATCCCAAATCCGCCAAACCCTAGACCCTTAATCCCCACCAAAAAGGGAACCTATAGCAATAGTAACAGTAATCTTAACTCCCGGAACCCTAAGCTCACTAAACCCTAAGCCCTAAACCCTAAGCCGGAATCCCAAAGCATCGAGAAGTCAGCTGGAGTACTGACTTCAGCGCCCCTTTGAGCGCCACCATGCAGCCCTCGCCATCCCACTCCTAGCATTTAGGGTTGAGGGTAGTCTAGAGCCCTTACCGGGCTAGCGTTATTACCTAGACCTCAGGGTTGAGGGCTTATGCCCTTCATTTTGTGCTTAAAAGCCGTCATTGGGGAGGTCCAGGTAAGGGCTCGGGGTTTAAGGTGTTTGGATCAGCCTGTGCCCTAACTTGGGGCGTAGACTTTGTCATGAGGTTCCCAATTTCTATTCTACATATTCACTCATGCCATAGCACACCCAAATACAGTCTAAGGCCCCAAGCTGTGGGTAGTATAGGGAGGTTAATTAGTAGGGGAACCCATCATTTTGGTACTATTCCCTCTATAAACCACCATTTAAGGTGAGGCCTTCTCTCTCCAAAGGTGTCATTGCATATGAGCTATAGTCTAAACTCCTAGAACCCCATTAATAACCTCTATAGTAGTCCCCTATATAACCCCCTTACAGGAGTTTAGACTACATTACATATGGCCCACTCAGAAGCTTACGAAGCTTACCGGAGTTTAATCAGGTTTAGGGTGTAGGGGAATTGCGGGGCGTCACAGGCTGAGCGCTTGCCTAGACCTTCGTAACCCTAGGGTTCAGGAGGTTTCTGAGAGGATATGGGGGGGTTTCATATTGGGATGTGCACCCTAAACCCCAAAACCCTAAACTCTAAATCCTAAATCCGGAAACCCTCAGCGCCCTAGAGCCTAAAAAACCTAAACCCCAACCCCTAAACCCCAAACCCTAAACTCATTTTCACCCGTTTTCCCACAATCCATATGCGCCTTCATGCGCAAACCCTAAACCCTAAATCCCTGGACCCTAAACCCAAAATCCCTTAGCCCTACAAACCCTTGAAGTCCTGCAGGACACCCACGGTGACGCCATCAAAGCGAGCGACACCGACCACCCGCTGCCAGCATGAAGCTACAGCTGCATCCACAGACTCCTTCTAAAGGAATAGCCCCTATGGGTTTAGGGTTTAGGGTTCTATACCCTTAGGGAATATATAACGGTCATATAGGGGCTATATATGGGGTATATAGGGATAATGGAAAAGAACATAGAAACTACTATTTAGGGTTTAGGGTTCAGGGCTTAGGATTTAGGATCTAGGGCTTAGGACTCAAGGTTTAAGCTTCATCAGTATCTTCGAGAAGTCGTTGCTTGGCAACCATTATCAAATTTGTTGTTCTTTGTGTTCCAGATATTGTCTCAAGCTTTTTTGGGCTTAGGATATGGGACAGGGGTTCAGCGCATATCAGGGTTTGAGTTCATGGCCTATTAGGGTAATCCTTCCCGATCCATAAGTCTTAAGCCCTACAACCCGGCATCAGAAGACCAAACATAGACCCCTAAATGTTGAACACTACTTTTCTAGAGAGACCCCGATACCTAAAAATTCCGAAGTCTCCTCCGATAAGTTCTTGCAATTTCGCGTTTAGGTTGCTCTCCTGGTGAAAAACGAAGTGAAACCCTTAGCCCTTTAGCCCTCTAATGACCTGGGGTCTCCTCACAGTAAATGCTGTAACGTTTCTCAAAGTATTGTGCAAACCCCAGAAACCCTAGGAAGACCACCGCCATTTTTGGAAGCTAGCTGTATGGGCTACTCGAAGGGATGGTAGAGTCCGGACCCTTGACATTGAACCCTCAACCCTTAACGCAAACCCTGCGCCCTAAACCGTAGACCCTTAACCCCAACCCTTAGACCTCAACCCTCAACCTGCGAACCTAAAAAAAACCGAACCCCGAAGCCACAGGTGAAAATCTCGTGCGGTAAGCCCTGACAACGTAACTGCCTTGCAATGAAGACTCCTGCACCGCAAAGCAGGACACCAGCACCTCTTTGGACGTAAGGTTCAAGCCCCAAAGGTCCAAAGTACATACCTGAACCCCAAAAGT